CTGGCTACATCTAGTGGCAACGCTGCTCGCGTGCTTTGCTATCGCTAAGACTATCGCATGCGCAGTGCACAATGGCTGTGAGAGAACTTGTTCGGAACTAGTTAATTGAAGCGGTAATTTTAAAAATATTTAAAATTGTATATTAAAAATATGAACATTATGACTGTAAATAAACAGTATTATTTAATTTATTTCAGTTAAATATATTAATTAAATAAGCTAGTCAATGTATAAATGAATATAGTCCTCCTTTCTTGCAGCTGAATTTTAACTAGCCTCAAATTTCACAAATCAGCAAAATTACACATTTAGCTAAATTGAATGTGTTGCCTGGTTATATAAAGCGATTATAAAACCCGCCTTCCGCTTGCCATGAACACGCAAAACTCATATAAACATATTGTAATTAAAACTGTCAAAGTTCAGGGCGAAGGTTAAAGTGCATGCAATTTTAATTAAGCTTTAATTGTCGTTAGAAAAGGGAGCTCCGAGCTAGCTGCGCACACACAAGATGGTAAGAGAAAAGCCATTAGCAGTGGACGAAAATTAGTGAGAGCAGAGGAAATATGAATACGCTATATGCTGAAAGAATATTAATTTAATAAATTATTCAGATTTTATTATAATTATTATTTTTTATTTGTTTTTTATGCATTCACTTTGTAACATGTTTATTCACGCTTAATCGAACCTATACATCCTCTGTATGGCAACTCTTATTTAATTACAGTTAGTCGACTAACGCTACCAGCAAATGCGCAACACAAACAGCGAGACATCATAAATACTGCAATGTCCAGCGGACATGCGACCCCTTGGCGAAGCAAGGAAGAACGAAAAAATGGGCAGGTGAAAAATGCACTTTGGATTTTGCATTTGCAATGCAAAATAAGTCGGTTGCGACATCGGCTTCGCATACGCCCTAAACGCCACAAATAAAAACTAATGATTTTCACATTATACCGAAAGTCGGGAAAAGTCGGAAAACTTGCACGCAATCAAACGCAGTCAGAAGCGAACATTTGCCTCGATTGTTTGATTGCATGCAACATTTAGAATTCAAATAGTCGGCAATTAATTGAATGCGCTTACCAAAGTGTGCAAGGAGAACGAATTTATTGGAATTGTTTCTCTTTCCAGGGTATTTTCCAGTCGATAAGCTGCTTGGCTCAGCTTTTTTCGCACCAATTTGTTAAACATGTTGTCTGGCGTGAATATGATGAGCTGTAATGGCTCCCACAAGGCACGAGGCGAATAACACAATTCACAATTATAATTCACTGATATTTATTAATATCGTCACTTAAAAAAAAATTAAATTTCGTGGAATTTTACTTCATACGCGTCACTTTAAAATTCGCGAATTATAACTGTAAATTTCTTAAACAATGTATGCAGCTCAATAAGAAACGTTACACTGGTAAAGCAAACAATCTAGGTATGCAGCAACATATGATATATTTATTATATAATTTTAATTATAGACCATTAAACTATGTTAATTATTTCACTTTTGATATTATGCTCAAAATATACATATTAAATGTTTCAAAACAATATAATATTTAATTTACGCGGGCTCTCCTTTGCTCATCTGTTGCTATTTATGCTCACAGACGTGCGTGAGCAGCATACTAGTTTAAATATATGGAAAACATATGACAGATAGTGCTGCCACCATGTCAAACCGGCATGAAGTGCCAAATACATGCCCACGTTTTGTAAACAATAATAAAGATTATGTTGAGCTGGCAGCACTGTCAGTGCAATTGCGTTATTTAGTTGACAAAAATGTAAATCAAAGCAAGTTCGCTTTAAAATAGAACAAAAAATATTTAATTAATACATCAAAAAGCAATTGGCTTTCGTGGCACGCATGGCCAGTGTGTGATTCGCTAACGACCGTAAAAAAGGCCACGAAAAATTTACAGCGAAACGATATAAAAGTTATTTGAACGTCAGCGCCAGGGCTCAGTTTTACATGAGCAGCGGGCAGAGCAACGCGCGAGGACGAGCTGCAATAGCAGCAGCTGCAGTTGGCAATTGTGGTCGAAGACATTCTTGGCGTGACTGCGGCGCATTAAATCAACGTGTGAAACACAAACCGGAAGTGCAAGCCCGACCCAGGCACCGCCCTCTACCCTGACCCCGACCCTTGCGGCGACCCCGATCCTGAACCTAGACCTGTGCCCGATCCTGTGCAACTGGTGGTCGCGTCATGTCTGTCGCCGTCTATGCCTGGGTAAGTGTGTGTCTGTGTGTGTCTGTATGTGTGTTGGTGTCATTTGCATTGCAAATTAATGAGTGATTTCCTCTTTCGGCTTTGCTGCGCACAGGGCGCCAATTCTCACGGTCAGCTCGGCCTTGGCTACGAATCGGAGCTCTGCATGACACCGCAACGCCTATCAAAATGCTCATTTGTGCCTCAGCTGGTGCGCTGCATACGCGGCGGCGGTGGTCATGTCCTAATCCTCGATAGCAATGGACGTCTGCACGCCTGCGGCTGGAATAATCGCGGCCAATTGGGCCTAAACTCGGACGACGAATGCCATAGCGAGTTCTCCATGGTGCCCACGGAATTCTTTGAAGTATACTTCACCATATATATATTATTTAACTTCTATACTATATAAATTCCATAATCTTCCCGGTAGGAAGTACCTGTGGAGTTCGTCAGCTGTGGCTGGGATATATCGGGCGCTATAACCTTGACTAAACGCCTCTATGTCTGGGGATCAAATGCGTTTCAGCAGCTTGGGATTTGCCAGCGCGGCTTTATGGCTGTGCGCAGGCCAATGCCTGTGCGTCTGCCGCGCGAGGAGGCGGCACAAAGGATTAGCTTTGGTCTGCGCTTCTGTGCGGTGCTCACCCAGGATCAGAAAATCTATATATTTGGGCGTTTGCGCATCATGGATCCGCCACCCATTGAACTGGATATTACAGCGACATCGCTGCATCGCTGCAATGTCATGAAGATCCAGCTGCACAATCCCAACGAGCTGCGCATTGTTTCCCTAGTCAGTGGCCAGAATCACATGCTGCTCAAGTGCGTGAATCTGGAAGCGGGCGGCAGCAGACGTATCATCGCGCTGGGAGACAATAAGTTTGGCCAATCGAATGCCTTTCAGTTCGAAGAGGATGTGCGCCAGCTTGCCGTCGGCTGGACGCACAATGCAGCCCTGTTGAAGACCAATAGCATTTTGCTCTGGGGTCGCAACTGCTATGGCCAGCTGGGCACGGGTGAGTTCTGCGAGCAGCGAGCGACGCCAACGCCATTGCAGCTCCGCTTGGAGGAGGGAACGACACCGGCACGCCTACACATGGGCGCGGAGCATGGACTGCTGCGTACCACAGGTGGCGAGATCTATACCTGGGGCTGGAATGAGCACGGCAATTGTGGAAATAATGCTACGGAAAATATGTGAGATGAAGATGAAGATGAAAATCATTTAGAAATGGAAAATAGAACAATTAGAAAAGAGAAAATATATTTAGAAATTTAGAAAAAGAATACAGAGAGTTACAAGTTATAAGAAGAGTCTGATAAGAGTAAGCTATAGGAAGTTCATATGGCAGATATCGTATGAAAATATATTGAGATACGCAATGATTATAGCAGAACTAAAACCTCTAGTAAATTACAGCAACGATAGTATATATTTCTGTTGGCATTTAAGCCAAGTATTTCAAGTCAGCATCTGAAGCTCTCTTTAACAAATTTATGAATACGTAGAAAATCGACAAATCATAAAAAATCTAAATCTATTATAATTAAACACTTTTTTTTTTAATTCTTTCGACCTCTAACATTTCTCCACTCTACTTTCAGCTGTGTTCCAACTTTATTGAAGCTGCCGGGCTACGCAAAGCTGGCTGGATCGGGCGCTGGATTTTGTTATGCGATTGTGGAAGAAGCTGATGAAGAAACTTCAACAACTTCTTGAAAACGCTTCTGCTAGACTAAGCTTGAACTATTTTTAACATTGTTTTTTTGAATGTTGTTTTAATTATGTAATAAAAATGCGTATTGTTATGTACGCAATTTGTTGCTTAGTTAATTCGAGCTGATTTTTTTTTATGAATTAAAGATTGTAGAAACATATTAGGAAGGCTGTTGAGAGAATACAAGTAAATGTCCCAGACGAGACTTGACTAGGATGGAATTGAATAAATAATCTATCAAAAAATTAAAAAGCTCGTACTACGTATGGTATAGACGAGTATATATGTATGTATGTAAAATGTAAAGTCCCTACCATTTGTAGATTACGTGATGGCTGTGTTCATATGAGCGGATGGACGAATCAAGTCAGCTCGTCGCCCTGCTCAAAAATATATATGTACTTACTTTACCTTATGGGGTATGTCACGTCTCTTTTGTCTGTAACCTACATTTTCACATGATTATACTCCCATCTCAAATGGGCTCCCGAAGCTCAACTACTTTTTACTCCAATCCATTCACCTTCGTCTTTATATTTATTTACTTGTTTAAAATCCATCTAGAGCTTTTATTCGAAAATAACTGCCGCATTTTCCTACCCATCCCATCCCTATTTAAATATCGATAGCATGTCGCATTTTATTATCGTCAAGCTTGTGAAGCTCAAGGTCACCAGTGGTGCCCATTCAAAAATTTTCAAAATTTTCAGCGCCCTGCCAAAAAATATATACATTACCTTATGGGTTATCTTATGGGGTCTGTCACGTCTCTTTTGTCTGTAACATACATTTTCACATGATTATACTCCCATCTCAAATGAGTTCACGAGCTGCAACTACTTTTTACTCCAATCCATTCACCTTCGTCTCCATGTTTATTTACTTGTTTAATATCCATCTAGAGCTTTTATTCGAAATTAACGGCCACATTTTCCTACCCATCCCATCCCTATTTAAATATCGATAATAAGTAGCATTTTAATATCGTCAAGCTCTCGTCACCAGTGGTGCCCGTTCAAAAATATTCAACTCTCAGTCTAGGTGAATGACAGTCTCTGTTTTAAACAGACAAATGACAGAGAAAATTTGTCGGGGAATATATGCCAAAAAAAGGAAAAACTAAATAAATAATTAGAAGTCAAGTCAGAGAATTCGATTGGATAGCATAAACACATGCGATTGCTATAAACAAAAGCCCAAACGTAGATCGAGCCTCAGTCCGAACGTAGAGCTTGCGCAGGGGAGCAGAGCTGCGTCTGCTGTGATAGAAGAAGGCGGACTTCGAGCGAATGGATGCGCACGGTGCCAAACGAGCAGCCGAGCGTAAGTTGACTCCACGTAAATAAAGTAGATCGACTTATTGTGGAACTCCATTTGATTCCCTTTCTTTCTTCTGTTCACTTCTCTGGGTTTTTCCTTCGCTCTCTCTCTCTCGCTTTCTCTGTGCAGCCAACGCGTACGAGCAGCTGGCCAAGAAGATCTGGCGTCCCACCGTAGCCGATTCGCAATCGACCATGCCCACCCATCTCAATGAGCATGGCGCTCCGCCCAAAGCTGACTCGGAGCCCAAGGCTGAGCCGAGCCCAGCAGCGACATCTGGTTTCCTAAACGAGGTACTCATTGCCCTCTATGGCGACACTACGGGACATCCGGAGAATGGCAGCTTCAGCTACCACAAGGCAGCCGAGCACTATGCTTTACATGGTGGGGATTATCTAATGCAGCAACCGGCGCCGAGCTTTGCCGGCGAAGGGGGAGGCGTGGCCCAGAAGGCGCCGCCGCCGCCAGGCTTCGAGCGTGGAGCCAAAGCGCTCTACGATCGCAAGCATCAGGCTGTAGTAGGGCATAATCCACGCCCAGGATCTGTAAGTAAATGATTACATTTCCATTTTTTTTTTTGCTTTTTTTTTTTTTATTTGAAAATATAGAGTAATTCTTAAAATGTCAATAGGTTAGGTTTCAACAAATATTTATACAAAACGAAAATATTTGAAATTCATACAAAAAATGTCATTTAATTAATTTCTATTAAATGTTTTTTACTGTTTATACTTAAACTAAAAACTTAACTTTTTATTTAACAAAAATAGTTAGCAATATTTAAAAACATTTTAATTTTTTTTACCAATTTTTTTTAAAATATATATTAACAAAAAATAGAAATGAAAATTAATTTTAAACAAACTAAATTGGACCAAAATAGATTAAGTTTTTTTCTTTTTTTATTTTTTTTTTTATTAGTAATTACAAAATTTTTAGTTTTTTAAAACTATTTCATTGTGTACTCAATTTAAAATATACTTTCAGGCCATTTATTATGTTTTTATAAATGTTAACAAATCAATTACTGTGAAATATAAATGTATAATCTACAATTTTGATGTGTTTTAATTTGTTCAATTATTTTAAATTGAGAATACAAATTTAAAAATAAAAAAAGTCTTATTTGAAAAATACTAATAATTATTTGTAAAAAATTATTTAGACTGATTTTTTTTTCTGTATTTTCGTATTTTTTACAAATTCGGAAACTAAACTTTTGTATACGATTTTCATATGTTTTTAAAAATCCAAACTATTTTTTTTTTTTAATTACCTAGCCAAAAGTTTATTTGTATGGCATACATGTATATTGATTTAATATATGATATCTTGCAGAGCTGCGCTTACAATCAAATGCTGTCGGGTTTGCAGCACGCGCAATGCTCGCATGGGGGCGGTGATGTTAGTGGACAGCTGGGGCGTGGCCAGGCGGGTAGCGTATCCATGAACGAGTTGTCGCAGCTCTATCTGCAACTGCTGCAGCACCAGTTGCCACAGCAACAATCACAGCAGCAACAGCACCTAGTTACTGGCGGCTCCAGCAACATGTCCATGCCCATCTATGGCATGGCCACGGGCAATGCGAACGATATCACTCAGATGTATGCTCAGCTGTTGGCTGCCAATTTGCGTCAGAATGCCACGCAGCACCAACAGCAGCAGATGCACCAACAGCAGCAACAGCATTTGCAACAACAGCAGCAGCAGCAACAGCAGCAGCAACAGCAGCAGCAACAACAGCAGCAACAACAACAGCAGCAGCAACAACAGCAACAGCACCAACAGACGTCCAGTGCAGCTGCTGCTGCTATACTCTATGAGGCTATGCTGCAGCAACGTGCTTTGCAGCAACATCAGCTGCATCAGCAGCAGCTGCAACAGCAGCAACAACAGCAGCGCGCTCCGCGTGGCATCTACGGCGGCAACTTTACAACTTCATCCAGCAAGCCTTCAACTCCGGAAAACAAATAATTCAGAAGAAATCTATTGAAATTTATTTAATTACAATTAATCAGATTGTTTTGTATGCAGTTCTCGTTTTGCAGGTTTTCTCGATCATTCACTTTCTTTTTTTTTTTTTGTATTTTAAATTTGCCAATTTGTTCGTCAAAAATCATTGAATTTTATCAGTCTATGGAACGCTTCTAAATTTTTAACATGAAAGAAAAATTATAAAAATAGAAAATTTTAAATTATAATTGGTAAAATTATAATTATATTGTAGTATCGCGCGAACAAATTGTTTATTGACTGATAAAAACAAATTTAAGAATCAATTAATATTACATTTTTTCTTAAATTTTAAATCCAGTCGTATTGCTGATATTTAAAAAATTTTTCAACTGTTAAACAAAAGTTTAATGAATAACTGTTATATATAATATATATTATGAATAACTGTTATATAT